CTGTGGAATAGAAGAAGAAGAAAAACATTAAAATCAATAATATCATAAACTTCAAGGTTAGAAAATAGCCTAAGAATTGATGATAGAGCTTTTACTTGTATATAATTATCTCCAAATCTGAGGAGAATCTATGTGGGGGGGGGGATATGAATTATACAAATATTGTGGTGATAGGATAAGATGATGGCATAATTAGGTAATAGTTGCAGTAATAATGACAATAGCATTAATATCAGTGGTAGTACGGATAGGTATGAATATGATGGTCTTATAGATAATGTTAATAATGATGATAATGGTGTTGGTGGGGATGATAATGATACTGATAACGATAACGATAACGGTAATGGTAATGGTAATGATGATCTCAATAGCAGCAATAGCTATTTTGAATTTAGTCGTTAAAGAATATGAATAACATGATAATCTTCACGTAATAGGTTTCATAAAATTGTTATCACGAAAGACACCAGAGTGTAAAACCAAGACACTCTGTCAGCCAAGGTGTTATCATTACATGAATTATTCGTTATCTCCCTCCACCCATCTCTCTCTTTCTCCTTCTCCTTCTCCTCCTTCGCCGCCTTCTCCTTTTCCTTTTCCTTCTCTCTCTCTCTCTCTCTCTCTCTCTCTCTCTCTCTCTCTCTCTCTCTCTCTCTCTCTCTCTCTCTCTCTCTCTCTCTCTCTCTCTCTTTTCTCCCTCTCCCTCTCCCACTCCCACTCCCACTCCCTCTCCCTCTCCCACTCCCTCTCCCTCTCCCTCTCCCTCTCCCACTCCCACTCCCACTCCCACTCCCTCTCCCTCTCCCTCTCCCTCTCCCTCTCCCTCTCCCTCTCCCACTCCCACTCCCACTCCCACTCCCACTCCCTCTCCCTCTCCCTCTCCCACTCCCTCTCCCTCTCCCTCTCCCTCTCGCTCTCTTTTTCTCTCCCTCTCCCTCTCTCGCTGCATTTATTAAGATATGCGACCTCAGCAACACGACCTTGCTTACGTAATATTTCCTGAAGACAAATTACATTACTGGCTGACATTATGATGCTATGTTGAGCTCCTGACGTGGTCTTCTCCGTCAGCATATATATCACTAGATGTTCCTTACTGATTCATTTATTTGACATGACCGTTATTACTATTAATAGCTTTGAGTGAAATCTACTAATTGATTTTATAAGACATCACAGACGAGACAATTAAGTCCATTAATTAAACTATAAGTGCGACCCCGATTCGAAGAGATATGATATCTCTAAATTAAAGTGAGGGATATCTTTATCTTTTATTTTTTTTTCGTCTGTTTATTGTCACTCCTGATAACACCCCCCTTGAAGATTTCTTATCAGCTGTCACACCTATACTGACAATCCCTGAATCGGTGACTAAAGGTTGCTAATCTATTTCGCTTTGGTAAACAGAGGCATAAAATAGGTTTAACGAGATATATGTAAAGTCAGAGAATCATGGCTGTTCTACAGAAATTGATTGTTAATACTGTTAAGGAATAAAGTTATGTTATCGTGTGTTATTATTTCCAGTTCCTTTACATAGGTTATCTTATCTTTTAACTTATTTCATTTACCTTTATTTTCTTCAATCACACTACGTTCTCATTCATAACATTTTTTTTAAGAGGCTATTAAAAGTTCAAATGTACACGAAGAAGAAGAAGAAGAAGAAGAAGAAGAAGAAGAAGAAGAAGAAGAAGAAGAAGAAGAAGAAGAAGAAGAAGAAGAAGAAGAAGAAGAAAAAAAGGAGAAGAAGAGGGAGAAAGGGAAAGAGAAAGTGAAGGAGGAGACAAGAAAAAGAAAAAGAAGCAAAAATAATAGGAAGGAAAATTATTTCAAAGAATAGGGTCGATGATGATGATGGTGATGATAATGATAATAATAATGTTGATGGTGATGGTGAAGGTGATGGTGACGATGATGACAATGACGATGATGATGATTATGATTATAATAAACACAAAAAACGTCTACTACTACTGATCTCATGTTTTTTCAACCGATCAAATAATCTATTTTTACCCCTAATACTATTATAACTTGAAGGTAAACAGCAACAAACTTTAATATTAAGTTTGGCGATTGTGATTCAGTTATATAGTGAATAGTGAATAGTGAAATAGTGTATTGTGTAAGATGTATTTGATATGTATGGGATGTACTGTGTTTATGTGGTTTATTTATGTAATACAAGATATATTCTATGTATGATGTATTTGGATAATGGATACATACGAAGCATAAAAAAATAATAAAAATGTATAAAATGTATATCAAGCATTTGTAGAAATATAACATGATATATTTGAGAAGTTATGTATAAAATGTCAATAAAACACCTAAAACTATTGTTTATGTAAAGGCTTATAAAAAATACACACACTTTTGATACCAGGATTAGTGCAGTTAACACGCCCCATATGGTTAAAACAGTGGATTTTCCCTAAACTGTATGTTGACTGTTTACATAAAAATCTCTCGGTTTATATCCCTTCTGCCTCAAAATCCCTGAGTATTAATGGTTTAACGGGCCTTTTTTCACCTCCAAACAACCTGTTAATTTCACACACACACACACACACACACACACACACACACACACACACACACACACACACACACACACACACACACACACACACACACACACACGCACACACACGCACACACACGCACGCACGCACGCACGCACACACACATTTTATATATATATATATATATATAGAGAGAGAGAGAGAGAGAGAGAGAGAGAGAGAGATTTGATTGTTATGATCTTTGTCTATAAAACTGTTTCTGTAAAAGATAACATCTTTACCATCGTCTTTATTAACTATGTAAGTCACCCTTATCAAATTAGTTGTCTTTTAGGTACTTCTTATCTTGTTGCTACCATTAAAATCATATAAATATAATGAACATCATTATAATTGACTAGATATTGTCTCACTCATCTTGGCATTCTAGCCTCATATTTTGTATATAGTAAATCAGACGATAAGTGAAGATAATGATTGCTGATTTATTCTTCCTTCATTTGTACAAGATCGGGAGTTACATTTACGTCGGCTTGTACAAAAAAATGGAATTACTTTCACTTGCTTGCTTGAACATCGACTTTTGCGAAAGTATAATGGTTTTCATATTTATGGGAGTTATAGGAGAACATAAAGATAAACTAATTTAACGTGAACTTATACCTGAAATGCAACTAAGGAGACTTCATCCTAATTCTGAATGTTTAACCCTGTTTGCAATTGCCCCGCTTTGTACAAGAAGCGGCGAGTATTGCGTTACCTTCTCTCTCACTTGTACAAGAGCAAGAAAGAAGTTGGCGGTCGCGTGACTTCAAGATTAAATATAACTTCTTGTCAAGACACGAAGGTACATAGCCATTAAATAGGATCATCAGCTTGCCGGCACATGGTATCTCACTAATCACTGGGGACGCAGACTGATAAAATTAATTAGTCAAGAAAAAAAAAGAGAATGAAAAATGTATATAGAATAAACGTTGATTATCTTTAGTGCTGTTGAGGATTTTTATGCCGTGGCTATCAAATTAATGTTTGTAAACTACTCGAAATGGGAGAGAAACTTGCTAATTGAGAGATTAGATAGTTATATCAAAGGAAACAAACGACGAATAAGGCTCTCCTTTCTCTAGTAGACGAGGGGGGTGGAGGGGGCAGGGAGAAAGGGGGGAGAGTGAATTCTGAGCTGGGAAAGCTCTGTTATCAGAAGAAACTAGATAACAGTCACTGCTTTCATACTCTTTTCTCGCCATTGTGTAATCCGGTGATAATATACAAGAGCATATCCGTTACCGCCGCCGCCGCCGCCGCTGCCTCCTCAGTGCGCTGTCATTCAGATAAACTATAGTACAATTACTCTATCAGAGCGGCGTTGCGCAGCGGGACCCCGCGCGGACAGAGGCCCTCCTTCTCGCGAACAAACGCCGGTTATGCAATTGAGGAGCAATAACCCTCAACTTTACTCAAATAGACAGAAACGGTTGTGTTCGCGCGGGAAGAGGACTTGCGCTGCAATTTGGTCTGCAACACACGACGCACTGTTGGCGCCGGCTAGAGGTCAGAACTTTTCACCATCGAAGACAGACAGACACATACATCTTCAGAGACGAGACGACGGCGACCACGAAGAAGTGGAGAGGGCGGGGGGCGCATATACTGTACCTGGACGACTGCAGAAAAGACGAACACGGCCGCCTCCAGCAGGAGCCCCAGCAGGGCTAGCGGCACGAAGGAGCAGAACATGTACACGAAGCTGAGGCGTTCTTCCTCCATGATGAAGAGGAATAGACTGTTCCTGAGTCGAATGCGCTTGCTGCTTTTATGCGCGGGTCGCCGAGGCTTTTCCCGCGAAATGCTGTCCTTTCCGAAAGGAGAGACGAGGAGGCTGCGTTCCCGCTGCGCCTCGCGCGGGCTCTGCACCCGAACGCAGAGGCTCGCTTCCTCGAAGTCGCCGCTCAGGCTCTGTTTACGCGAGGCTTTCTGGGGAGCGCTGGCAGAGGGAGCTCCGCGCCGTCCGTCGCCGCGATGCGCTGTGAACAAGCCGCGTGCTTGAACTGCGAGTCTGGTCAACTGCTGACTGGCCGCCCATGAGGGCCACGTACCCACGAACGCCCACGGACGCCAAGGTCGCGCGGGGGAGGTCGCAAGGGGAGCGGCGCCCTCAGAGGAGAACATGGGCCGCGGGGCGAGCGAGGGGCGACTGCGTCAACGGGCTGGCTCATCACACGCTGCGAGCGGCGCCGGGGTCATCTCATCACAGGCGTCGTGATGACCTCAGGTCGAGGTGTTCGGCGAGAGGCGCGGGCGGCGGCTGTGCCCGCCGAATTCCAACCTACGACCTAATTCGTCAGCGCCGACAAATTGCCAATGTTTCCTCGCTTAATGACGAACCTCCTTCCCTTGAACTCAATCTAGGATGTTGAGACAAGTGTGAAAAGTGAGTTGTGTGGAAACAATATATTATTC